GGTACACAGCTTCTCTGATTCACAACTATCTCTTGTCTAAATAAAAGTCCTGGGGCAGCTGAGGCATGAAAGTGACATCTGTGACAAAACTGCTACCTTAGGAAAGGACCGAAGTCTTGAACTTAAGTCCTGATGTTAATATTAAAAGGGTGTAGAAAGGTTTTTTAGAGCTCTACAAATAGAGACAAATCTGAACCTTCACTTTTATTAGGTTTCCTTTTGTATCTAAGCACAAATCTTAATTTGAAATAGAAATAGTTCCTAAAGGTTTTTCCACCAGTACCTCATTTAACTTCATATGCTTGTGCATGTATCAAACAGGTTTTTTCATATATACACAAAGAAGCGACTCAAACATCTGGCATGGCACAGGCACACATGAACATATGAAGATACGCATACACTATGAAAAAATGTAAGCTAATTAGGCCTCCAATGATATAATACAGGCCATTAATGAAAACAGAGCCCATGCCAGACTGTTTCCTAAAACTAAATATATGCCCAAGACAACACTGGAGAAATTGAATTAATCTTTGGTAAAATTACAAGGAAAGTGATCTGTTGGTTTGCAAGGCCATGGGGTGGGTAATATCCCAAGTCAACTTTATTTGACTCAAAAAAGATACACACTAACTGACAATATAAAACCAAGCATTTTAGAAACATGCTTTGAGTGCTGTAACCCTGCTTGACTGAATTTTAAAAGACAAGAATTTAACAGTTTCAGGAACTTTTGGTTCTACCTAAAAAAAAAAGAGAGAGGGATGAAATTTAACCTAAAGTTCCTGTCCAGCCTTATGTTTCAAAATAACTGTTGAGATCGCCCTGGTACGTTTTTAAAATTGATCACTACAACTGTGCATCTACAATTAGAAACCACAAATAAGAGCCTGTTTTCAAACATCTAAAGTTTTACTTGCCTTAGAAATTAATGGGTGGGTAAAAAACAAGAAATAAAATGATTAATGCCAGCGTGGTATACACAGCCATATTTATTAGTTCACTTCCAATTACATAAAGAGAAAGCTAAAGCCATACACAAGTGCTGCTTTAAAATAAAGACAGACTACTGTTTTCTCCAACAGTTTTATTTCAAAAAAGTACACAAGTCTGTCATGGAACTACAGCATTTTAAATTTTTGGATTTTGTTTTTACAAATCACCCACAATACTTTTATTTTAAAATACCATTCCCCCAAAAGTGTGAATATAAAACCTCATACTGAAATTTGTATCAATATTCAAGTCCATGCTTTGTGCATGAGAAGTGTAACGTAACATAACATCATAACATTTTGGATTCCAGGAAATATTATTGCTGCAATTTCAATTGAGCTGTGCCTCAATGCTAGAGGACCGATAACCAACAGGTCCCATAAAGCACCTATCAAGTGTATAAAACAAGGTTTAAGTGACAGAAATGCTATTGTGTCTTTAGACTGGAACAAAGATCTAAAGTGATCCAGAATATACACTGTTAAGAACAAAACCAAAAGCTTATCATGGAAACCAGTAATATACAATATTCAGCATCACAGAAAAGCTTGCAATTAAGAATTCTTACTTGTACTATTGAGCAGGAAGCACACATCTAATATGAATGCGACTATCAGAGCTGATAAAGATGTATGCATTGTACATTTCTTTCAAAAGTCATGTTTTACCCTTCCAACAAGGCATTTCTGTGCACTACACAGTTTTGGAAGAAGCATTAATTTTTAGGTAAGGAAGTTTCACACAAATATCTTTAAATATCCATTTCAGAAAGTTTATGAAAATGCTTGTAATGTATGGACAAGTGTTACGTAACCTCTACAGTATTACAAGTCTAACACTTTATTCACACCATGCTAAAATTGAGTGGGTTTCTTCTATATATAGTAGTCCTCAACAAGCAAGTTTACGGTCATGACATTAACTAGAGGTTCCTTGAGTTCACTTAAAAGAGTATTTACATAATGGTACCACCACACACATACACCCCCCTCCCCCCTTTTTTCCCCCCTCAATAAAATGAGACATTAAAAATGCCACCTTCTAACTGGTATATCAGCTGCCATTACTTCCTAAAAGAGTTCTGTTAGCAGAGTTATCTGTAAGATCGGACACTTCATGTGTTTAACCAGTTCATCTCCTATACAGCTAGAAATCATTGCTGAACTACAGTAGCTGCTTTTGAGAATCATAATCCAGTGTAAGTGAACAATCTATTGACAAAAGAATTCATAACAGCAGTATTATGTTTTCATAGTAGTGTTGTATCCATTCAAAAAGGCATGATGATAGCAACTTGAGGCAAAGTTTACCCCAAGTCAGAGGTTCTTTATTTCAGATAAGGACTATGTCAGATTCTATTTCTTTTATTTTCCATGCAATTACATAAATAGACAGACACTGTCAAGGCTGCTAAGCCTAACAGCTAGACTCTGAGGGCACATCATGCTGTCCTTCTGTTCTGTCCATTTATTATTTTGTACAAGCTGACAGAGCATTAAGCATGTGTAAACTCTGCTCTGCATGCTTTAGTGAGATAGGTTTCTGTTCTTGAGTGTCTTAGGGCTTACCTGACTGTAAGTACAGGGTCTCAGGCCAAACAAACAAACAAAAGAACAAAAAAACCCCCAAACAAACCAAAAAAAACCAAAAAAACCCAAACCCAAACAAATAAAAAAACCCCCACCAAACCAAAAAACATCTAATCTCACATACGTCCACAATGACCAAGAACCAAATTCAGTAGGTTTGTTGCCTGGTTGCTTAGGTTTACAGCTATCTCTCAGTCTGTGATTCAGTTTAGGTTTGTACTCAACTTGTATTTATAACTACTATACCCTTTTAATTAAGGAAGGCTTTAGTTTCAAGGTAAACAATCAGTGTATCAGTGTATGATTAAAATCTCAGAAGTCTCTTCTATCACAATAATTGGATGCAAGAAGATGTCTCCTCATCTATTGTTCTTCACAAGCACATGTTTGGCACAGTTACTAAACCTATTATTTACCACATAAGTAAAAGTCAATCATTCATCTCATTGGTACAACAACTGAACAGTTTTCAGGAATATAAACAGTTAGATCATAGTTATCAACTGAAGGAGTAACTGATATTTTGATATACAGAACAATTCAGAGAGAGACACTGAAGTAACATCCAAAAATAGGCATGAAGAGGTATAAATAGTACATAAGAATCAAGAAATCAGATCACAGTGTCATGTTTTAAGAACTGTACCATCATCTAAGCACCTGTTCAACAGTAAGTTTAGGCACCAGGAATTTCATAAAAACTGAAGTTACAATCAGGCAAAGTTTATTGACAAGGCACACATGAAAGATAAAAAAAATCCCATCTCTTAACAGTTTCAGTTTACAATCTAAAAAAGTCCCAAATGTGTAAAACTGTAAGTCTAGAATACTTAATAGTCATTCAAGTTTCTAAATTTAGTACGAAGGGTACGTTCTTTACATTAAATAGTGCCAGCCAAAAATTGCGCACCTAACTACAGATAGGACAAACATTTAGTAGTAAGCCAAAGAATTTATCACAGATCTATAAGCAGCTACAAAAAAGCAGACACTAAACCTAGAAGTTTGGGGAAATGTTTTCTCTCACACTGTTGCTACATACAAATAATCCTAACATCTTCCAACAGGCTATTCAGGTATTTCCTTCATCAACATCAGTGCCACATACGATATACCTTTCAAGTTTTCCAAAACACCTTGCAGTTTAACATCTACAGCTAGAATAAGCTGAAGGGACTGCCCCCTCTCCCGCCCCCCAGCACAGGATAAAGGAGAAAGTAGAAAACAGGAAGAAAGAAAAAAATCCACAAAGATTCAAACTGCACTCACTAAGCTTTAAATCCAGCTTCCACAGGTATATAGTATCAGTCATCAGAAGCTATCAGAAGTCCTTAAGTATGTGTGAAAGCAAGATAAGGAACTGTTCCTCCTGTAATGCTTTAAGTTTGCACAACTGGGAAGAAGGGGTTTTAATCTCTAAACACAAGATTTGTATCAACAACTCCAGGTAACCGTTTCCTCTCAGATTCCGGCTGCACTAAACTCTTGCTCTTAAAAGTCTAAATGTCTGTTCACAATATTTAGGGCTGTTGAAAAGGCAAGGCAACATGAGCTCTAAACTCCTCGCAAATTCACACAGAAATATATTAGCATCTTAAGTAAAGGTTAACTACTGCTTACGTGTATATAGGAAAAGATGTTTCCACAATGATGTTAGAGCAAGAGAACAGATATCAAATACCAATTACTTAAGAGCTTTCATTAAAACCCCATAGAGCTTCTAGGTAATCAGTTTGGAAGAAAGTAAGAGCACTGCCTTAGAATCTAAACAGGCTTTGGAAAATGCAAGGTATAATTAACTTAAGACCTGTGTAAAGATACATATTCATGCATCTTTATGTTTTGTCTTACTGTGACTGCAACAGTTGATCTATAGGTTTTAAAGCTCAGATACCACTACCAACAGCCTGATAGGACCTCTTGCATCAGATCAGATCAGTATTAAGTTATCTGACATGACTAGAACTAGTTATTACAGAAAAAGTCATGTTTCAAAGAGCTTGCAAGGTCTCCTGTCACATTTCCACTCACATAAATTTTAAATTCAGAATAGAGTCATTAAATTAATTGAACCAATCAAATAACTGGTAGTCCCTGAAATAAGAGCTCAAGAAGTGCTCCAAACAAACAAACATTATCAGGTTAAAGAACTGCATAAATACTCAGTTTGAACAGAATTCAAAGCCATCCTCAGTATCTCAGACCCCTGCAACGACATCAGACAGTGGCCAAGTTCAAATATTTCTGTTATTCAAAATTGGAAGATAAAGTTTCAGGAACTCTGAGAAACTTCATGGTCTACATACAAAATGCTTTTGTTACTTCTCACTTGTGTCTCGCTGTTACATATTCGAACTGCACATTAGCTGACAGTGTCTCTTCAGCAACCTACCAGAGGTCCAAATACCTTCAGTGTCCGATATTTATTTAGGAACTTCAAAGCTTTTAGCAAATAGTTCAACTGTCATATACTAATAAGTTTAAAATTAAAAATGAGAACTGGTGGCTTTTCAAACTAATTCATTCAATTTCTTCAAGGAAAATTGCATGCCATTGTTTAAATGAGGGATGGAACACGGTAGTTTTCTCTAATACTTACAATGAACACTTAAAAAACAGCATTTAAATTAATAATATTTTATACTATGGACCCATCTTTGCTTTGTGCTGGAATCATCACAGGAACAGCTCCCATTCTACTTAAATTAGGTGCAGCTACCTTTGAAGGTGCAAAGGTTGGGTTTTGACCAGGAGTACGTTCAAAGTCTTCACTTGGGACTTGACTATAAGGAGTTTTGGTATATCCTTCCATATTTGAGGGAGACATGGAACCCAGAGAGGAGCGATTGCTGCCTATGTAGCTGCGGGCTGTTGAACTGCGACTTTTTGGAGGTGGAACATCTTCTCTGAAATAAACAAAAAACCATTTGCAGAACAAAAGTTCAGTCACCATTACTATGTGGGAGCTTACAAAACAAATTTTCAGTTGTTTCTTTCTATTCTGTCACAGTAGCCAAAAGATGCTCACGTATTACTTTAAAAAACCAAATTCAAGTATTCCTTGCCTTTAAAATCTTTACTGAAATTAAACATGACTACCTACACCATATTCAAAACAAAGTTCTCTGACAAGCTGTTAGTATGTTAATAAGCTTTCCAGATTAAGACAGAAATCTCAACTGTTAAGTATCTTACTTGCAGAAATACATTTAAAAGTTAATCTTCGAATAATACTGCTCAGAAACTAGAGACCTGTCATTACCTGATATCGTGATGTACTTCCTTCTCATACTTCTTCTCTCTGTGTTTCTTACAGCAACAGAAGACGAGAAAAGCCAATACAGAAAGACCCAGCAGAGTTCCTATAACAGCTCCAGCAATTATACCAGCTGTATTTATAGCTAGAATAGATAAACGACAACACTGTTTAACTGTCAAATTTGTATAACCAACTTCTTTTCTCTTAACATTAAAACCAGCATGTTTCCACATGTTCCAGGATAATAGTGTATCACTGAATCACAGAGGGTATACATCAATTACATGTGTTTAAAACAATACCAAGAGTTACAGCTTTCTGCATAAAAAACAACATTTTGGGAAGCAAAGACTTGAAGTGGCAACTACCAGTTACAGAAGAAGCGTTGGTTTTTTTAACCTTTTAGGAGTTTAGAGAAAACAAGATTATTCAGTTTTAACACACAAAACACTATGTGACCGTTACAGAGCAAACACTTACGAGGGGTGACATTCAGCTCAACAGAACATTCATCCGTGCCAACTCTGTTTGAGGCAACACAATTGTATGTACCAGAATAGACTTGAGAGGCATTTTTCAAGAGAAGTTCCCCTGTATTTTTATCTAAAAAAAAAAAAAAGTAGAGGTTTACCATTTTCCAAAGTTTAATTCCATATTCAATACTACAGAACTATTAGTCCAGCACACATATGAAATCTTAACTAAAAAATGCCATATTAAAAATATCCAAATAAACCCAAAAATCTATAGTGCTGCAAAACATTATTTGTAAGAGACTTTTACCTTGTTTGAAATTTATTCCACAGCATTTGACTCTAACATTAAGCCTACAGGCTAATTGCTCTGTCAATGGATAGGAACAGATGCTTAAAACGGACAATTCTCTCATCCTAACATTCTAAGATACAAAAGATTAACTGCATCCCAGAAGTACCTCCTTCTCTTCTTTCTGTCTAAACCGATTCTACACACCCAGCTCAGATGCCTGCAGAACCCATGCTCAACATCAGGTGCATCTAACATGAACGCTGCACTCCAATAGGTGACCAATTAAGTCTAGCTATGCCAACAGGGTACAAGACAATCAGTGCAAACAAAGATCATTTCCCCAGCACTTTCAAAGCCATTGACTGTGCAACACAAATACTTAGCTCTTCCTGCCGAACAAGTTAGGCAGTATCCAGATTCTTGAGAACATGCTTAGTGTCCCCAAACCTACATTCACAAGCCTGAACCAAATAGTTTTATCGAATTACATGCCACTTTTGCATACTTCTTCACTCATTGCTGTCCAGCACTGATACTGTCAATTGATTTTTTTGCTACTGAGACAAATTTGGGATGTGGAGAAAGAAGGAGCATAACAACAGAAGCTTAAGGTCTCAAGTGGTACAGAGGAGGACATTGATGATCAACTGTTCACTGTCAAAACAAGAAATAAGATACCAAACAGCACTACCAGGAGACAAGTTCAAAATGAAAAACAGTATGAGGTTCTTCATATGTAGCTGATTTTTAGATCTGTTTTCTAAGATATTACAGATTCTAATAGACTACAGAAGTTTAAAGGAAACTGGAAAAGTTCACATAAGTCATGGGGTTTTCGTTTTAAATCAGTTAAACTGAAGCCACATCTGAATTTCCTGAGGCATAAATTACAGGAGGAGATCCCTATGAGGAAGAATTATACAACTTTTTATTTTCTCTCCCCTAGACATCCCCTTTGGCTACTCTTAGAGACACAATACCATTTTGTCCTGCATGTCCTACACAACTTGAGTTAAAATATGTCTGTTTGTAAGCTGATTCTTAACTGATTCATCTGCAAGGAAACCCATCATCTCAAGGTTTAAGGTTTTCATAACTACAAAGAAGATGAGAAATAACTGGTACCGAGTAGTACCTTCCAAAAAAATATTCCAGAATAACTTTCACAAATCCAAACCTCACAAATTAACCTTCTACAATGAAGTTCTCACAATAAAAATCCAATACCAGCACTATAATAATTTGGAATCCATCAATCAGATTCAGAATATATAATTCTTTCCTGTATGTCAACTTTTGCAAGAAGAGGGTGAGCCTTCTCTTCTCCGTTACTTTTGACAACTTTTCTTCTAAACAGATGAGCCCCATCTTAAGCAAAAAGTTCTGTCACTGTATCAGGTAGTGAAGACCTCAGTTCAATCTAATAAAATTCAAGCTTTTATCTCCACTTCCCTGAAGGCAGCTCTAACCACTAGTCTCGACTCTGTTCTGACTCTTCCCTACCATCCACTTGAGCACAAAAGCAGCCAAAATCAGCAAGAGAATTCACAACACTTGGGCATGGGTGAGCATGATTCTGCAGCCTAACGGTAAGAATCTCAACCTAAAGCTTGAAATATGTCCCCGTATGAATAAAAAAAACCCATCAACTTGTTTCACAGTCAGTTTTATGACCCAGTGAGAGAGCAGAAGTGACACTTGACTACTCTACACTAATATTAAGCATAAGATGCTCAAAAGTCAAGATAAGCCAAAAATACGAATGCAATCTTTCTTAAATATTATAGAGTAATAAATGAAGTTTGACAGTACTCAGCATAGAAGTGGCAGGAAGTTCCTGTGTGCCAGATACTCTCCTCCAGTCGTAAGACAGAAGTGGGGATCCTTCTTGTGATGCACATTTCAAGATAACGTCTTTTCCAATCTCCTGTGATCCTTCAATGGAACATTTAGTTCTTGCTGGCTTCACTAATAAACAAAGTATCCTTGAATTAATGACAGTCACAATCAAAATGCTTGCCAGTTGCACTCTAGTAGGTCAGTCCATTTCGCGAAAGACAAAGCTTGTGCAACAAACAATTTCTATGAAATACGAGCCAGGTGTAGAATTTTTTAAAATGCGTGTTACTCTGAGTATTACTGCCTTCAACCCCCAGAAGAATGATGTCCACCCCTCCCAAAGCCTCAATGATGGACATATCACGATGGATTCAGTGTGACTTTTCCCAACATAAGTTTTCATTTCAGACATCAAAGACAGGATGGAATAAACACCTTAAAAATATCATCGAAAATCCAAGAAAAGTATTATCTTACCAAGTACAGTCAACTGTATTTTTCTGCTTTGAACTCCAGGAGCCTTCTTCACTTTGCACTGGTACGTGCCAGTGTCTGCTGACTTTAAATTCAGGATATCCAACGAACCATCACCAGATCTGGGATCAGGATTAGTAAACTGCATCCGCCCCGTCATAGCAGCATAATAATGATTATAAATCCTGTTTACAGCATACATAATTATCTATTAAAAAAAAAATGAAACACTATTCAGAAATCCACTTGGCACGTAAACATTCAAAATGATTTGGTACCTTCAGATTCTTGACAGTTTCTTTCCGTTTTAAATGACCTCCTAAGTATGACATAGCCAAATATCTCAATCTTCAAAATATCACCACTCACAGTGCTCTAATGTATACTCCAACCAAACATCATCTGGCCAAGTAGCAAAATGTCAACATTGTCTTAACTGAAAGAAAACTGTTTAAAATTGCTCTAATTTTATTCTGTAAAACCAGTCTACTAAAAGGAGTCATCTTATTGATAAGGCTTCCAAAGAGAAGGAATAGTTAATAACTAAGAAAGTTAATATATATTAAAATTAAATCCTCATAAATCAGTTTTCAACAAGGAAAATAATACAGGTACAAAGGCATAGTTTGTTTTCTGGAACTGAAGCGTATATAATTTCAGAGTTCTTCTTTAGAAGACAAGTTTATAGTGAGAAATTTCTTGACATTTCACACTTAATCTGCTGTTCCAAGACTTCCACTACATTTAATATGACTGGTGCTTCAAAGTAATTTAAGATCACAAGATCACAAGACCCCAGCCTGAAAAGGTGGAAGTTAAAAATTCATTAACAAAGTTTATACTCATACAACTGAATTAACACCGTCCAAAAAAAGTCTCTACTTACTATTTGCTCCTTCTTTTGATTATCTGCTGGTATTAATACCCACTCAATATCTAGCGGGCCTTCATCTTCTTCTGAGAGTACAAATGTACACGGCAATGTAACTTTCTCTCCTTGTGCTGTTTCAAACGACTTTTCATCTGAAGTTATACTTAGGCTTCTCGTTAGACCTAGAAAAATATATTTACACTTTAAAAACACTTCACATACAGTTTTCACAGTGTTCTATTATATATTAGCATATATTCAAACCCATCATACACTTTTTTCCTGTATAGAAATCATGCCATTAGTCAGACTTGTCACCACTTAAGAGATCCGTTACTTTAGACAACGCAGTCATATACTGTTCATTTGGTATCATATCCAACAGGCAGTTGCATCTTTCAAACCATACAATTTTTTATTTTTTTTTTACAAGTCAAGCCCCATACAAAGCTAAACCAAAAGTTTTCAGCAGAAGGTTTTTCAAATTCTTAGATAATCACCTTCCACTACTCCCTCACTGTAAAATGAAAGCATGGAAGAGCAATTAGGTCTGCCAGGATGGACAGAATTGTTGTGAAATTCTGGGTTAGCTCAAGTTAAGTTACTCCGACTTGAGGTATAAGGGCTCTTCTATCTACAGGGAACGGACAAATTAAACCTTTCCAAAAATCTCAATGAGTCTTTTAGATTTATTTGCCCTTTCTGCTTGTCTTACTCCTCAAAAAAGGCTGTGTAACCCTTATCTGCATGCCTCTAAGCAAAACATGTTTCTAAACAACAATTCTCCTCAATTCAGCCCTGAAAAAGAATCTACATAGTGACACAGACAGACTTACTCAAAAGGCCTGAAGCAAGATTCCCGCTATTTTACAACAAACATAGGCTTCCCTCATCAAGTGTATAGACCCATGCATTGCCATCAGGAAGTGGAAAGCTCCCTCTGCTTGTCATGGAAACAGGTCTGGCATTTGTACATCCACTGTTTTGTCCACCTTGCTGGGTACCTAGCTCAGATTTTCACAGTGATTTTATGTGTGTAGGTGGCTGCCCATCATAGTTAGACAATTACACAGATGTTACTGCAGCCACAACAGATGCAAGGCCACAAGTGTGGCCCTTGTGAAAACAGATCAATCATTTTGGTGCATCTGTAGGATCATAGCCTCAGATGAAATAAAATTTTAAGTTACTATAAACAGTGCATTTACGCTCTTACTTGCACTTCTATGCTAGCTCAAGTTATTATCTAACCTGCGCTTCTCCACGCAGTAAAGAAGCTGTAGTGCACTGCTTCTGTAGATCAGACTGCAAGAGCTATCCTTCCACCTTAATAAAGTTTTGCTCTGCATCGTCAAGTCTTTGGATTCTCTTCCTAACGTCTATTTAGCTATTTATTAATAGCTATATTTTAACAGCTATTAAAAAAAAATCATCTAGAAAGAGAAAAAACCTGACATAATAAATTCCACACAAAAGTCTGCAAGAAAAGACCTTCACAATCGTTAACTACAAACATACAGTTGCAAATAAGGCAGGATTATTTTGCTTACTACCATTCACTGTATTACTCTGCATTACTTAATTGGGGGGCGGGGGGATGGGGGGAACAACCAAGAAACATCAACTTGACGTACAAAAGAGATTTAGGTGCAATGTTTCTTACCAACCCATGTATATCTTTTCAAAGATAATTCTAACAGGTTTGTATCGCCTCTTTTTTGACCACAGTAAACACACCCAAGAAACTAATTCTCTGCTACTAGGCTGAAGTAATACTATTTCCTAAATGATACTGACCTCCATGAACACCGGTTGACTTGCCACAGATGCTACCTACTTCTAAAGGACCCTTTCAGATTTCAAAGTGTAAAACTAGCCATTCTAAACCTCTTAAAAAGGTCATTTGACTAGTGAAATATATTACAGTGTAATCCTTAAGTTTGGTCAGCTTTGCATAAACAAAGACAATTACTGTTACTGTTTTTAGCCATACTCCCAAAACATAGAAATTAAACTACATTTAGAAGAAAATATTTACATAAGGCAACGTCCAAACACCGTCAGTATCATTACTACTAGCCGCCATCTCTAGAAATGGGTAGATTCAGAGTACATTCATGTTTCCATAAAGCACAGTAGCAAAGAACACAAATTCCTAATCTGTTTTTCAGTGATTTCCACACTCTTCTGTTCCCCTCTCCCCTACTGCCTCATTAGGGAACTGTCATATTGTATTTCCAAGTTCATCTCCAAATTGCATTTCTGCATTTCTATTTTTCTATATTAAAGAAGTGAGATGGGATGTCAAGTACAGCTTAGTGACTGACAACAAAACACATTATGATGCCACTTTTTTAAAAGCCTAAAATCTATAACCTGGGCAATTAAAAGCTTTCATTCAGAAGTTAAGAGTTAATCACTGAAGCAGTACTTCTGCTCTATGACAGCATCTCCAATAACAGTTACTTTGCCATTTGAAGTTTCACAAAGATGACCATAGAACACACATTTACTTTCCCCTCCCACAAAGGGACCTGCTGAGGATTTCACAAGGTATTCAGCAATTCAGGTAACACAATGACAGCTGCCACTTCACAGTGAATAACAGAATTCATACTTTGGAGATGCTACGACACATCTGTACTTCTAAAAAGTATAAAACCTCTGATTTTTAGTTGACACCTGCTGAAACATACAACATGGCTGAAAAACTGGGCAGATGAGTAATCATATGTTGATTTTTGACTAATTTTCTGAACAAACAGGATTTGTACAATCAGTATTTTATTTCCCTCCCTCTTCTGCCATCACTTGTTCACCTCTGAGCTTCAAACAAATACAAAAGCAGAAATAACAGTCCAGTGCAATCACAAGTCCCTGAAGTTATTAATTTGTTCTGACATAGCTAAGAAGCGTCAGATTCTTGAACTATCTCTTGCCTCTTCGTTGCCAGACAACTCCAAGTGAGTACAATTTCAAAGTAAACGTTACACAAACTGTTTCTCGTTCAGACAGCAAAACACTGAGAAAGAGATACTGGGAATAGGGAAGAAAAAAATATGTTAAAAGTTCTAAGTACTACATTTCAGAGACAAAACTCCTAGGAAACTATGCACCAGTAGTCCTGCCTACCATGTGGCAGTTTGCTTAAAGTGCTTTAAAAACCACAAACAGCAAACAGTTCAGTCTCAGCTTCTACTACAGCACTGATTTCTCCGATTCAAAACATACGAAACAACATAGTAACCATAAGCCAAATAAAAGCAGAACCCAACAGCCTGAAGTGACTCGCCAGAAATTTATCCTGTGTAGAAAATTGTTACTAAAATTGAAACTTTTGAAGCGTGAGTAGTATGTTCATGCACATTGACTGCAAATAAACATGCCAACAGAAGATGAAGCACACAAACCTCAGGACAGCTCTCAACAATCATCCCTTGCAGCACACATTAGCTGATATGAGAGGTATCCAAACACTGGTCTGGGGATTTTTCATAAATCTTAATTCCTTTCTTAATGCACACCTCCCAACACCTAATTCTTATTATACTAGTGTTCCACAGTCTCTTTCTTGCACTAAGAACACAAGCATATAAAGCTATTTTCCACTTTCTCTTTTGTTTGGGTTGTTTTTTTTTTTTTGGCTAACATTAGAATGACAGGCAGAAGCAGCAAGCATCTCAATGAAGGCAGGTGTCAAACTAGCTGGGTTTGAACTAAGCATTAGCAAAATAAGGGAGTGGCAGGTAATACTAGTTAAGAGAGTCCCTTCTGCAGAGGAGACACACACATCTGCTGACAGATACGCTGCTGAAGGAGGTTTGGCCAGATTCAGCATGCCAGAGAGACTGCCAAGGGTCCTCTGACCCTTAGACTATTAACTATTAAACTATAATTATTATTATTATTACCACTATTGCCTTCCC